AGGGGCGGCCGGAGCCGAGCCCGTGTCCCCGCTGAAGGTGAACGGCGAGGCCTTCCCTGCCGGGCCGGCAAATGTCACCTGCGGGACAGCGCTCCAGGAGCCGCCGTGCTGCTCGGGCCTTAGCCGCCCAGGACACGATTTTTTTCCTTATTACTCATATTTTAGCTACTCTCAAATATTTWTTTTCCTAAGAGAAGCCAGAAAAAAATAGCTTTAAAGAACTAAAACTTGTTTTTCTTCCCCTTGCAGAGCTCCTGAGGGAGGCACTGCTGTCTTTGTGCCTCAGGCTCTTTGCTAACGGGTGGGATTGAAGGAGGTGCCGCTGTGGGAGCTGCCGCAGCGCTGCAGTGGTGACACTGGTGCAGCGTGGAGGCCATGCGAAAAAATGCSCTGAATAATTTTAAAACAATCTCCCTTTTTATGGCATCTACCTTTACTGATGTTACACCTGATTCCAGAGGTGCACCTTGGTGTAATGGAACTCTGTACAGCTCAACTGCGACACATTAAACACATAATTTATGTTAAAAATTTTTGGGTTTACTTTTTTTTCCCTGCAATTATGACTTAAAAGTGTGGGGTTTTTTTATGAATCAAAGATGCTTCATTCTTACTGAAACAAATGTTGTTGTCAGATTTCCAGAAACACACTGGGTGCAGCATTTGTTGCTACAAGGAACATACATGGCACCAAAACATGTTTTCAGAAAACTGGTGAGTCAAAAATAAGTRTCATGTAAGAGTACTGTTTAAGAACTTGCTCTCTCAAATTTGTTAATTTAGGCAGTTAATAGCAAATCAGAATATTAACTTGGAACACAAGGTGTACACCTTATTTGACAAAAACCTTAACGGACAGTGATTGATAGTGATCTGTTTGTTACACAGTCCTATATATGAGCCCTTGCTTTGCAGTGTAGTAACTGTTCAGAATGTGCCCAAGTAAGGGAAGTGGTCACATGTTAAACCTGACTTATTGCAGTTATCTGCTTCACAGGGTTTCTTTTCTGTCATTAGCTCCTGTGGAGTTATCTTTAAAAGCCTAAAATTCCAGTTTTGTATCTGCTTTTTTAATAACAGAGGCRAGTGTATGACTTTCCCAAATGTTCTTGGGTTTAACCTTGTGTCCTTGAATAGAACTTGTGCTGTTGGCATCTTGGTGTTTAGGGAATACATCAGCACCAMATAACTGTTTTTGGTAATTGTTAATGTATAGTTCTAGAAGGAGTTTAGGTCACTAAAGACATWACTGGGRAATGGGAATTTCATTTTTCCTTGGTTAATGTGCCCTAACTGAGAGTATTGGATCTCGAATAAAAATGAATTGGAAATATATTTTGATGCCCACAATATGTGTGCTTTGCTTCCAGAGCTAGCAGTTTTCTGATCTAGGTCTATTTTATTTAGCCTAATATCTTTTCTGGTGGACAGGTTGTAGGATATATTGAAGGACATAGATGTCTTTTTTTAGTCATTAATAGTGGCTCCTTATGATGAGATTAAACTGATTGTAAACATGAAAATTGTCACTTGTTTATCATGTCTAAGGAAGAGTGCTTGGTTGTTCTTGTGGTACCTTAAGCAGCTCAAGATGAGCCTGCTGATTTTCTGCTGCACCTTAACACGCYGGATCTGGTTGAAACATCTATTTCCAGGCACCGCTGAGGTATCCTCTATTCTTGAGGAACGCATTTTGGGAGCTGACACCTCTGCAGAGCTTGAGGAAACTGGCCGCGTGCTCTCGATTGGTGATGGGATTGCCCGTGTCTATGGCCTGAGAAATGTCCAAGCGGAAGAAATGGTTGAATTCTCTTCTGGACTGAAGGTAATTTTTCACTAAATTTCATGTTTAGCTTGGAAATATGACATATCTAATATATRATGTATAGTATGATGACTTTTCTAAGAAGAATCTGGGATGTTGCTTGGAATTAGTCACATGGGGCTTTATTGGTTTGTTACAGCTTAAATGGACTGTACTAGTTGAAATAATGCTGAGAAAAAGAAAAGATTTTTATTTCTAATAGGTTCTTTTCAATATCAGTATCTGGATTTTGGCCAATATTGGAGCTTATTTGCCTTTACCTAGGAAGTATTAGGAGTTAATCTGCTGTAGTGTTTTCYTTTCTTTAGTTTCAGGCTGACTTTTCTGTTTACTGGTTAAAAAATGGCCTCTAAGCTGCAGTACGGTGTACGGTTTGCTGACTTTCTACAGTCTTAAGAACAGACCGGAATTAAAAGGGCCTAAACTGCACTCCAGAAGTCAGACATTTTTTCCTCCAGCACTTTTAATGAGCTAACTTGCTTCTTTAATTATTGAAGCAGGTAACAATCCAGATCTTTTGTCCAAGTCTTCTTTGAACCCATTTGTCTCTTCTGTTTAGGGCTAGAAGTGATTTCATGCTAGACTGCTGCAAACAAAATAAATTGAAGAGCTAGGTTTTTTTCATTGCTATAGGAAAGAGTATATGCATTGGATGTAAAAGCAAAGTATAGAATATTGTATTGTTAAAAGTAAGATTGAGGCAGGCTCTATAGAATAATCACATTGATGCTACACTAGCAAAATTTCACTGGAAATGTTGATGTGGGTCTTCTCAGGATGGTGTGATCTCTATCCTAGGGCATGTCCTTGAACTTGGAGCCCGACAATGTCGGTGTTGTCGTGTTTGGTAATGACAGACTGATCAAGGAGGGAGATGTTGTGAAGAGGACTGGTGCCATTGTGGATGTTCCAGTTGGGGAAGAGCTGCTGGGCCGCGTTGTAGATGCCCTGGGCAATCCYATTGATGGGAAGGTAACTATAACTAAGTGTTTATTGCCTCTGTGTGCCGTGTGGTCCATATGGATGTGATGTGGACTGCAGCAGTTTCTCTTTTCCTTTATTTAAGGGTCCTATTACTTCTAAGACACGTAGAAGAGTTGGCTTAAAGGCCCCTGGGATCATTCCCAGGATTTCCGTGCGTGAGCCTATGCAGACTGGTATTAAAGCTGTGGACAGCTTGGTGCCAATTGGCCGTGGCCAGCGTGAGCTGATCATTGGTGACAGGCAGACCGGGTAAGATTTCTAAGCTGAAATTGTTTCCATTTATAGAAACTGAAATACAGCATGTTGAGTATACAAAGGTAAAACACAAAGCTGGGTAGAGGTTAGAACCATAGGCACCTTAATTTAGTAATCCCTATTTGTGTTGCACAGGAAAACCTCAATTGCAATTGACACAATAATCAACCAGAAACGATTTAATGATGGGACTGATGAGAAGAAGAAGCTGTACTGTATCTATGTTGCAATTGGGCAGAAGAGATCTACTGTGGCTCAGCTGGTGAAGCGGCTCACTGATGCAGGTACAGGCTTGGAGCAGATTGATCGTGGTGGGAGCTCATGATTCCTCTCTAGTGGAACAGTTTTTCTGAGAGCTTCCTCTTAACTGCAGCCAGCCTTGTCTGACTGCTGTGACTGATAAGCACTTATGTTTGAAACAAACACCCAACACATACTTTGTAAATGGCAGTTGCAAGTTTGGTGGAGAGAGACTTCGCTTGCCCTGTGTAAGGGACTAAGTGATGACATTTTTCATAAATGCAGCCTTGGTCAACAAGATGACCATATGTAACAACATCCTGCAAGGTATAGGTGTTTTACCTCTTGGCTGCTGGTCAAGTAGAGCCATACCCAGCAAGAGAAATATGTTTTGGTGATGCAAACTTTTTTTTGAACTGTGAATCACAAGATTCTTAAGGTAGCTCGTTGAAGACTTCCAGGCCTCTGACTTTTAGAACCTAAGTGTCTTTAGTCAAAGTCTAATTTTCAATGGGAAAGAAGTCTTAAGTGATAACTTCCATAGTTTTATTTTTAAAAATGCTACATGTGACATACCAACATAGCATAACATTCTCTGCAACTGTGTAGTCATGCTGGGTGCTCTCAGTTCAGATGTCTGCCTTGTAACTAGTGCTTCCCTTGTGGGTTGAGTTTGTTATTGACATGAAATGCTTATGAGTCTCCAATTCTTTGCAGATGCCATGAAGTACACTATTGTGGTTTCTGCCACAGCATCTGATGCGGCACCCCTTCAGTATCTGGCTCCCTACTCGGGCTGCTCCATGGGGGAATACTTCAGAGACAATGGAAAACATGCTCTTATCATCTATGATGACTTATCCAAACAGGTCAGGACACGTTGCTTGCAGTGTTGGTGTCTGTAGCTGCAAGATCAGCTCACGTGAGGATAGAGAAGTTTTCAAGCCAAGTATCCAAGTCTGAGAGTTGCCTTTATTCCGTGCAGGCCGTTGCCTATCGCCAGATGTCTCTGCTGCTGCGTCGCCCGCCTGGCCGCGAGGCCTACCCGGGCGATGTCTTCTACTTGCACTCTCGCCTGCTGGAGAGAGCAGCCAAGATGAACGACTCCTTCGGAGGTGGCTCTCTCACTGCCTTGCCTGTCATTGAAACTCAGGCTGGTGATGTGTCTGCTTACATTCCAACTAATGTCATCTCCATCACTGATGGACAGGTAGGACTTGCTCTACATATGTTAGTGCTTCTGTGCAACTTGGAGATAAGTCTCAAGTTTTCTGGTTTCTGACCATGATGATAAACTTCTCCAGATCTTCTTGGAAACTGAGCTGTTCTACAAAGGTATCCGTCCAGCCATCAACGTTGGTCTGTCTGTATCCCGTGTCGGCTCTGCTGCTCAGACCAGGGCTATGAAACAGGTGAGCATGAAACTGCTACTCATCTATAATGATGTGATTTCCCTAATCTACTCTTTGATCCTTCGGATCTTTTTAATAAGCCTGGAAAGTGTTCTAAATGACTGCTGTCAAGTGGAAAGCATCCAGTGCCAACGGAAGGATTTGAAGTGTGAACTGTAGCGTATGCTGCAAGGTGAAACAGACTGGGATTTTTTTTAGTAATATGGTAATAACAATCAATTCAGGATTCATAAAATCACATAATATGTTCAAGATTCACTTGATTGATAGGCAAAGCAAAACTGATTTGTGATAGCTGCTAGCTGAAAACAACCTGCCAACTATTAGTCTTGTTTCCAAAGTGGTCCAACCCACTAACTTGTCTTGTAGGTGGCGGGTACCATGAAGCTGGAGTTGGCTCAGTATCGTGAAGTAGCTGCCTTTGCCCAGTTTGGTTCTGACCTGGATGCTGCCACACAACAGCTGCTGAATCGTGGCGTGCGCCTGACGGAGCTCCTGAAGCAGGGGCAGTATGGTGAGTGTCTTGAATGTGATGAGTCTGTGCCTTATACAGGCTCCATGTGCTGATCAGATGGATTCTGTGGCTGTGTTAAGAACAGAGTTCAATGGACATGCTAAATGTCAGCCTGTTTGCACCATATCTTGTATATATGCAGTCAGTCTTCAAAGAAAAAATGTGTATCTTGATGTAAAATGTGCCAATGGTATCAACACTTTTTTAATGCAGTTCCCATGGCTATTGAGGAGCAAGTAGCAGTCATCTATGCTGGTGTAAGAGGTCACTTGGACAAGCTGGAGCCCAGCAAAATCACTAAATTTGAGAGTGCTTTCCTAGCCCATGTTCTGAGCCAGCACCAGGCTCTTCTCTCTACTATCAGGTATGTTGATTTGTTACCTTACTGATTCTGAGGGTACTGACCTAACTGAAAGCTAAATACTGGTCACTGGACTATTAAGTTAGTGTATCCTTAAACATCAGCCTCTGTGCATGTCTCTAGAACTCCAGAAGTGAAATTTAATAAGTAGTGTGGGTTAAGTACTGCTTGCTGCTGCCCTTGCCACTAAATTGGGTGCTGGAGACACATAGGCTGTGGAGTGTGTACAGTCCTGTCCTGTCAGATGGTTTTAGCTTGTTTTCCCCTGAATTGGATTGTGTTCTTTTTCTCTGTGACTAGAATTGTTGCCCTCTGTTGAATACAAAGTTTGGATATTTTCAAAGTATTTGTTGGCAAACATTTAGTTCCTGTACAACCCTAACTCTGGGGAGAAGGGAGTTTTAATATGAGCTTCTAGTAGTAAAGCTTCATACATGAAGCAGAAGGGTATTAACTCACTTGTTGATTTCATTAAAAATGGAAGCTCATAAAGTTTTCTTGCCTTCCTGAGAGATGGTTTTATAACTAAATTGTTTCAACAGGACTGAAGGGAAGATCTCTGACCAGACAGAAGCCAAGTTGAAGGAAATAGTCACAAATTTCCTGTCTACTTTTGAGGCATAAACTATTTAATGGTTCATGCAGACGGGGCTGTTGTGATCCCGTGCTCCAGCTCCATCACGGAACTAAAAGTATGTGCGACTTGAATGTACAGATCTGAGAATAAACGTTTCCACATTAAAAAGGCTTTGTTATTCTGACTCTTTATTGTCTTTCTGGTTTGCTCCTCTAGTGGTATGTGCTTAAGGGAACAAGGAATTGATTTGGGCACAGGATTGCTAAAAGAACTTGAAAATCAGGACATGTTTACTGCCCAGTGGATGAAACAAGGACTTGCTGTAAAAGTAGCAGGCTTTTTTTTTCAGATGTGGAGCTTMGTGTTCTTTATAGTCTAGGCTCCACAAGCCTGATAGTCTTAACAGGTCTTCAAAGTTGCCCTGTAATTCATTTTCTTGATGCCTTGAGTTTCCTGAAGTTGTGTGTCAAAGGAAGCTCATCAGGAGTGTGCCTGGCAGAAATTAGATTGCTTCTGAGGTTGTCTCCTGCTGCAAAGTAAGGCACCTTAGCCTTACTTTGCTTAGCAAGCTTATATATTTCTTAAAAAAACATACAGCTGGAATACRGCATCTAGAAGCTGCAACAGGGAGAATGGGGCTGAAGCCCTGGCCAGCTGAATGTAACCTGTTACTATAAGCCAGTCCTGAAACAGTATTACTGTACTTTGAGAAGAGATTTTTTCAGAACTATCTGTCCTGGTATTTTTAGAGAGCTGCACATTTAGGTGTGTCAGTAAGTGCTACAGATTTAAAAAAAATAATTCTGCGGTGTGCTCTAGTCCTGTCAGTAAACTCCCCCTGCCAAGCCACTCGGGAGTCTGATGCCTGAGAGGTCTGTTCTGTGCCTGAGTTACTGCAYGCTACACTTGGCCTTATGGTATTGGAGCAGGTATCAGGGCGTGTGTGGGAAGGAAAGTTCAGTTCTGCCCTTAAACTGTAGCTCTGTCTCGGCTCCACCTGGRAACTGAGTCCTTGCCAGTTAATTTAGGTGGTCATCCCACTTCTTGTGGTATATTTGCACTTGATCCTGTGTGCTAGAGCCCTGCCCTTCATCCTAGGGGAACATCTACTTGCCTCAATGTAATGGTGTTCTCTGCAGTTGCTTCTTTCCACTTAAGCAGCTGAAAAATCCCACTTAATCCTCAGCATTCTTGCTCGGGTCCTGCTCAGTGTCGCTGTTAGGCAGTATGGGGCATTAAGCATAGGGTCTGCTGCGAGATCTGATTTAAGTGAAAGTGCCATCAACACGGCCATTGCTATGCATGGAGCAACCCGCTTGCCTGTTCTGTTTGACTCATTTGGGATCCTTTTGCCCTTGTAGGAAAGGGGAAAAGAAAATTGAAGTGCAAATCCTGCTCTGCTATGGGCAACATCTATGTACGTAGCACAGACACATGAAGGTGAAGGGTTAATAGTGCTGTGTTYCTTGAGGAAGGACCACAATGCTGTGGTTGAGCCTTTTTGCTTAGACTGCCCCAAGTCACTTACGTAGCCTGAGCACAGTCTGTGCTAGGAAAGTGATTCTTAAATGTAATAGGGAGGTTGAAGGTGGCAGTGGCTGACAAGGCAGTAGTGCCCTGTCAGGCAGTGCTTTTGGACCATCTCCTGTGCTAACACTCACTCTGTGACTAATGCTGTATGTTCAATGTGAAGAGCGCAGACTTGACATTGGGACTATACCTTTATAAAAGCTTGTTATCCTCTCTGCTCGTTTTGCTCAGTGCCTGAACCTAAACAGCTTGTTGAYTGTGCAGTGGGGTCAGGTGTTAGGTCTGTCCTGCAGGTGGGAGCGGCGGGTCGAAGGCCGGTCGGGGAGGCCTTGGCTGTGCTGCTGGACGCGCTGGCCGCAGGGGGGTGCTGGGCGGCAGGGAAAGCAGCCCTCGGGGACGGTGACGCTTTTGCTTCTGGCAGCCGCTGSGGGGCTTGGTGTCCCCTTTCGCTGGCTCTAGGGCCAAGTAAATGGCCTTGAAAGCGGGTAGCAATGGAGATGACAGCAGCAGCGATCCTTCTTGTGAGCTGAGATCAGGTCTAGCGAGGAGAAACAGCAAGAGAGAAGCAGCAAGCTCGTGCAGAGCTTCCACACCTGCAACCTCGTGGAGCCCTAGCCCCAAACACTAACAGTTCTGAGCAAGAAAGTGACAGCAGAAAAAAAGTCTTTAAAAAAGTTCCAGGGGGACTGTGCATCCCTGGCAAAGCATGAAAGCTGAGCACAGCCCTGCTGTGCTGCTGAGAGCAGGGCAGCACCTCTCGAGCRCTCCCGCTGTGGGGGCCCTTGCACGGCTGCAGCCGCCCACACTGCGTTACAGCCGATGCGCTTTTCGGTGAGATCTCGGCGCGGGGCGGCCCGTCCCGTCCCGTCCAGTCCCGTCCGGCCAGGCGCCTCCCCGCGCCGCGGCCCCGGGCGGCCGTTGCGGCCGTTGGCGCCGTTGGGGCGGGGCGCGCGGCGGCGGCGGCAGCAGCATGAGGGAGTCGCGCTTCAGGGAGCACTTCTGGGTGAGTGGGGCGGCGGGAGCCCCCCGGCCCCCGCGCGCGGAGGCGCCGCCAGGAGCGCGGGGCGAGGGGGAGACGTTACCTCTTTGGGGCTGCAGCGGGTGTTTCGGGGCGCTGGAGCTGCTCCCGTTCGGCCCCTTCTCCTGCAGAAAYGCTCCACGGGCGCTGGAGCTGCTCCGGTCCTTAGGCAAAGCCGTGGACGCGGCGGTGGATTTGGGGGTCCAAACGTCCCCTGTGCTTCTGCATGACAAAATACAGCCGTGCCGGTGGCAGGCACGGGCCGAAGGGAGAGCTCCTGGAAAAGGCAGAATCTACCCSAAGTTGTCTATAGGGGAGTTGCAAGGGGCAGCGCATCAGCCGCAGGTGCATGAGGGAACAGGAGGACAGAAACCGCCGAGTTTTACYGAGGTTTTTTACACCTTCAGCGTGCTGCCTGTTCTGTGAGAGAGTGCAGACTTCCCCCTGCATTTTTTTTTTTTCCATTTTATTCATTACACCTACACCAAAAAGGGAAGAGGAAGGAAAACTCCACTGTTCTGAGCTGAATAACTTTGCAGCGGCCGCGACAGCTCCATGGGAAAGGGGGGATCCGGGAGGGCCCCACAGCGAGCGCTTCAGTGGGGRCTGTGGGCTGCAGGCGCAGGGAGAGGATTTCAGCCTTGCTGTGGATGGCACAAGGTCCAAACCTAACCCCGGAGACCCACAGGCTGAGGTGTTTTCAGCGCTGTGACTTGAGGCATTGAAACCCTGAGTTGAGAATCGCAAGTGCCCCGTGTCTTCATGGGGACAAGCGTTGACCTTTGCTGCACGGTGATAAACATCTGAGTATTTCCCTCATACTGTTGGTCAAAYGGACCAACTGGCCTTGGTGCCACCGTAACTGTGGAGCGCAGGCTGTGGTTTCATGTTCTGGGGACATGAAAAGTGAGAGCAGCCCCATGACCCTGGACGGTTTTGAGTCCTTCGTTGTGCATTTGAGTCCTTTGTTGTGCAGCCTCCGCTACAGCAGGGCTGAGCTGTCCGCCTCGGGGGCAGAGTTGGCACGAAAACCTTCCCGTTTCACTGGTGATTTTCCTGCACTGGAGGCTGTTTCCAGAGCTGGTTCATCACACGGCCTCACTTTGAGAGCTCGGCTGCTGGGTAGGAATTACTTGAAAACCGTGTGCTCTTGCTGCAATAACCTCTTGCTTCGCCAGTTGGGCTTCCACATAGCCGCACAGCTGGCCTGGAGCGAAGAGATCCTGCGCTTTGGCCCCAGCTCCAGCATCCAGAAGACGCCCCAAGCTGTAGGTGTGGGGGATATGGCAGCGTGGGGGGAGCGGTGCCGTAGCTTGACTGACGCTGCCCCTTACAAACCATGTGTTAACTGAGCTCTTTTGCAGAAAGCTTGACAGCTATAACAAAAATAAAAATATGCCTCAGCTCTTGCTTGTTTCCTCCTGCCCAGCCTGCAGCAATTGCTGTGAGTTGAGCAAGCAGGGTTTTTTTTCCCCCTGTTTGCTTTTACAATCTCTTTCATTATATAGCGTCTCCCATCCATTAGTTCCTTTTCTGGATATCTGGTTTTCCCCARGCCTGTTCTTGCAGGGCATTTCAGGTAAATCACTGGCAAGTCTTTGGTCAGAACACAGCGGTCGTTGCAGGTACCTGTAAAACTAGTGGGGAAATAGAGATGATGGTCAGGCTAAAATGGACTTTAAGTCCAATCTGCTGGCTTAAAAATCACATCCTGGAGAGCTGGTTCTTTGTCATTGTACTTAGAATAATTTGCTCCCTGCAGATGGTGTGTAGAAAGAATGAGCAAATGATTTTGAAGGCTGAGACCTGCTAACTTTCACTGAGGCTGGTCAGATTAAATGACTCTTTAAGACGAGATTTACATGTTGAGTCTTTTAGGCACTTGCCAATACCTACTTTTCATATCAAGGAAAAGTAATCCTAGTAAAACAGTCCATGACTCAGGCAAGTTGTCTGGAATAAACGATGCTTTTATTTATTTCATTCTCTAACAAAGTACACGGCAGAGTTTCTGCAAGACGCTTATCCTCCCAGTGTGTAGCAGTGTCTTGCTTTTCTTTCCTCAAAATTGGAAGTGCAKCAGGAAAGAAGTGGTTTGCTGCAAACTGCAGAGCGAGGGGAATGCAGAGTCTGCAAAGGAAGCGGCGATTCCTCGCTGCAGGCCCCGGTACCGCTCACTGTACCTGGTGTTTTGCAAGGGGGAAGGTGCAGCRAGTGGCCTGGGCAGCCTCTTATTTGCACACCAGGAAATTCAGCCTGGGACACTGGGTGCCACCACCAGGTAAATGAACCCAGGGCTCTGGAGGGGAAGGTCCTTCACATTGCAACAGTGACCTGGCCTTTATTTTCTCTTCATTGCCGGTTTCTTTCTCTAGCTGTGCAGCACCCGGGGGGCCTCATAAATTCTTTCTCAGCAGCTCTGATTCCTCCTCAGCCCTGGCGTTGGACAAGAGGAGAGCTCGGCCAGGAGCTGCGAGCCCAGACCCCAGGTTCCCCTGCTCGCTCACTCACAGCGTGACGGTGGCTCTGCCATTTCACTTCCCTYTGCTCCCCCGGTCTGTCTCTGCAATGCAACTGGCTTTGTGCTGTAGAGTTTGTCACTAGTGCTATTAAATCCTCAGCTTGAAAGCAAGGAGGTGGGGTTTATAATTGCCTAAAATAATGRAGGCATAAAATAATTGCCTGTTTTGATGGCCTGACATTCTCTATTCACACACATATTTGGGACTTGCAAGATGCACATTTATGGGCAGAGGATAGGACAGTTCTTACAAGTTTGAATGGGAAAATTGATCATTGAGATGCTGTTTTTCATAGGGTGCAGTTCTAAGGTGGCTGGATATGCCAAGAGTCCTGTTGCTCCCTCTCAGCTGTTCTTGGCTGGTGTGTTGTACCCACGTGGTTATGTGAAGCTGCAGCTTCTTGCTGTGGAGCCAAGTGGCTTTGGTTTGTCAAGCCCTTGAATTCAGGCATGTGCCTGGGTGTGCTGTTCATCTGTGGGAGAAGATGCACAACTAGGTTCCCTGCTTCCCCCCCAGCAAATTTGGCTRCCTTCGCAGGGCAGTCAGTGCTGCTCTAGGGTGGGCATTGCCTTGTGCATGGTGTAGGGTGGTGATCCAAGATCCTACATGCATCCCTAGGGACCACGTGCATTTTTATGGCACCTGTGCTGAACAAGAGCAAAAAGTAGCTTCAACCTGCAGTGAACTTTGTCTTTCCGTTGTTTGGGGCTTTGCTATCTTTTTATTTATTTACTTATTACCTCTTGTGGAAAAGAGATACCTCAAAAAGTGTTGGGGCTACTTTTTTTGCCCCGCAGAAATTGGTGTAAAAATGTTCTTTTCTGGTCTGAATAACCTCTGCAGGACCTTGAGAAGCTTCAGGACTTGAGCACTTGCGAGCTAAAATAGCACAGCCATTTATCTCTGCACAGCACCTCTGATCACTAAAATAGACACCCTCTATTGCTGTGTTTTTCTAAGCACATAAGGCTAAGAAGGGACACRAAAACCTCTGCATAAGCAAACATATTTCAGGTCCAAGCCTGTGCTTGGACTCGGTGAGCAGCACAGTGCCCCTTGCTGACTGCTGCGGCTCGCTGGCCCCACTGCTGCGAGCTCAGGTTTTACTTGTGAGTGCAGGCTGAAGGGCTGAGGATCCAGAGTGTGAGAGCACACAGCATGGYGAATGAATGCCAGGACCAAACGCTAAACTGCAGCACTCACCGAATCTCTCTGTGCCCAAACGCTCTTCTTTTTGGGAGATGAGGATCACGCAAGGTCACACCAGGACTTCGGATGTCGTATTACAGCATTTTAGCCCCTCTTGCTAAAAACACAAGCTAAATCCCAGCAGGTAATTTTATGCCAATCAGAATTTTCCAGCTTGAGAACAGAAAWGGCACATTCCCGCATGGGTGAATTTGAATCCCTCTTTACTTTTTTATTCCATGAAACTTATTCCAAATTATTCCATCCTGCCCGAGTTATTCATTAACAGAGAAATTCTTTCTCGCATAGGGACTCTGCAGGAGTATGTAAGGCTGGAACGGAGCAAACCAGGGCAGCAGGAAACCTCTGCTGCTCTTGGCAAGCGCTGCTGTGCCCAGCGGAGCCCTGGAACGCTTTTGAGAAGCTTCAAATGGGAGTTTCCATTCCCTGAGGGCTTCACATCCGCTCTGCGCTCTGGAAACATCAGCTGCTGCTTTGTCACCTCACATCATCCCTTTGCRGTTTCCATGGGCACTACCCTAAATAGCATGTCCGTTAATAGCCCCAGCAAGGAGCCGGAGACGTGGTGAGGACCATGATGGTCTCGTGCTGTTTTGGCAGGGGACAGAGGGACAGAGGAAGGGGCCCGAGGAGCAGAGCCGYCCTGGGTGCTGACCTTGCTGCGGCACCGCGGTCGTGCCTCTCCTTTTCTTCATATCCCTCTGCTTTTCCATGCACTGCCTTCCAGCTTGCACGTGCAGCACCCATGCCTTCCCAGGCACTCCTGGACCCTGCCTTTTCCTTTCTTATTGTTTTGTTCTGTTTTTTAATGAGTTTTGGCTTCCTTACTGCTCTCCCTGCACCACCTAGTTCAGGCCAGCCTGTGAGAGAGGAAGCAGGGGCCCTGCCTGCCAGCGCTGCAGCCCTGTGCTGGCCAGTGTCCCATATCACAGCCGATTCATGCCTGCCCCCATGCCCTCCCTGCTCCCCTCCACCTCGCACATCCAACAARCAGCAGCCTTTCCCGTGAGGGCTCTGCCAGGTCATCGGCACCCGAAGCTGCGTTTGGATGAGTGGCGATGGCCTGATGAGATGTTACTGGGAAGAAGCCTCTTGAAAGCAGAGGAAAATCCTGCTGGCCTGTGCGTCAGGCCTGCTGTGAAACTCATGGGTTCTGCTTCTGCAAAACCTTGTGTCCCGCTCGTGAGAAAAGGAGTTTAAGGGCTGTCTGCCCTGGTTAAGGGACAGGGCACCGTTCTGGAACCAGGTTCTTGTCTTCCCTCCACAACCCTTCAGCACCACCACTGTATGTCTCCCTGGAGACCTACTGGAGATGGGATTCACTTGGTGCTTTTAGGTAGAAACCCCATTTTGGGTAGAAACCGCATCATGTGCACACTCAATCCATGCAATTTAGCAAAGTTTACCAAGTTTTAGCTTGCTGTTCCTCACTTACCATGGATCTGCCGCTGGAAAGGGGTCTCTCAACCTCAAGATGTATCCTTGAGAGCTGTCCCTGCTCAAGCGGAGATCCTGGCCAGGATCCTGTGCAGGAGAGCTCAATGAGCTCTGGGCTGTCCCCCTATTTATGGGGCAACATTTATAGTCATATTTGCAAGTCAGATGACCTTTGGCTGGTGTAGGCTCAATGAGCTYTTGGCTCTCGTGCTGTTATCTGTCTCCTCAGGGTTCAGCTTAATCAGTCGTGGTACCTGTTGTTGATGGTTAGCGTCCGAGTCGGGGAGGAGATCAGGGAGGCCATCCAGACCATCTGCAGCTTGAAAAAGAACTTGAGGCTTTTCTGATGGATTTATTTGGCTCTTTTTGGATCAATATTGCTATTTTATTGGGAAGATCTTGGGATTTGGGATATGGGGATCCCTGATCCCCAGCTGAGGGGTGTGTGCAGATCCTGAGAGCTCATTCCCTGATTATTTCATTGACTGGAGCTCAGTGCCCGGTGCTCCACACACACACAGAGTGCCTGTGGCCAGGCTGAGCCTGACTAAGCAGCATGTATGTAGTTGCTCTCTGCTTCTTTCTTATTTCCTTTAAATGGGGATAGGAAGTCAAGTAAGGGTGTTCTTGAATTTTGCAACAGTCACAAAAATGGATTTCAGCGTAAACGTGCTTCCTTTTTCACAGAGCTGCTTAGCAAAGACGCAGCGCGAGCTGCAGGGCAGCTCTGTGTTTTTGGTAATAAGCTCACTTTGGGTACGTGTGAGCCAGTTCAGTAAACAAAAACTAAAGAAGCTGTTTGGGGATCAGCTGGTGCYGTGGATCCTGCTCCCTAATCCCCTCGTGCCCATCCCTGGCCCAGGCAGAGCGCAGCTTACCTGTGCTCGCCGGGGGGTTCCAGCCCGTCCTGCCTCACCAGATCTCTGCTGCATTTCTTGCTTTCTGACCACCGACTTTCAATTCCTTGACCTCTTAGAGAAGTCCATAATGATGAAATGTTTGATTTGCTACAGAGACCAGCGGTGCTACTCACGCAGACTTTTGAGAAATCTCTCCCATGGCTTTCTTCACCTTTTCACTGATTATCTGTATACAGTCATCTTGGCTTTAAACCATTTCCTGAATCTCTCAATTTTGCCATTATTCCTCTTTAAGTTTCTTATAACTGTTTGTGGCTTTTGCTTCCTTTCTCTGAACTCCCTATCTGCTTCAGCCTTTGCTTCCTTTCTGCAGCCTGTTTCTGTAGAACATGAGCCAGTCCTTTTTGCAGAAGATGACAGGTAGCAGCTTCTGTTGAGCTCCCTGTATCTGCTTTGGCCTTTTATTTTTTTGGAGAAGGAGAGTTCCTGGTCAGAGCTTCCCTCTTTGTATTATCGTAGCACTTAGGAGTCCTGAGTTTGGCTCAGACCTGTAGGGTGGTAAATCCTGATTAGTTGTAAAACAAAAATCCACTTTTTGTCCTATGGAGCTTATGGCTTCAGACAGCTGATGATGGAGTTAGGAGGAAAGAGTGGGGTGATATCATTACCTATATATATATATGTAGGTAAATATCGCAGGAGTGGGCTTTTGGAAGAGGCAGGATGGAAAGGACAATCCCAGAATCCCAAAATGGTTGAGGTTGGAAGGGACCTCTAAAGCTCACCCAGTGCAGCCCCCTGCTCCAGCAGGGACACCCAGAGCTCGGGGCACCCGGTCCCATCCCGGCGGGTTGGCAGATCTGCAGAGCAGGAGCCTCCGCAGCCTCCCTGGGCAGCCTGGGCCAGGGCTGGGCACCCTCACMCCAAACAAGYTCTTCCTCACGGGCACATGGAGCTGCCTGCGCTGCAACTGGCACCCACTGCCCCTTGGCCTGGCACTGGCCACCACCGAGAAGAGCTTGGCTCCCTCTTCTCTACATTCTCCTCTCAAGTRCTTATACATATTCATCAGATCTCCTCTCAGTCTTCTCTTCTCCAGACTAAACAGGCCCCGCTCGCTTATTCTTTCCTCATAAAATAGATGCTCAAGTCCCTTCATCATCTTTGTTGCTCWRTGAATGCCAGCTTTGGAAGGGACCATGCTAAAGGAGGAGTTTTGGTCTGTCTTGGGACTGACCATATTCTGACTGGGACAGAGCATGTTTCTGGCATGCTGGAGGACTAAGCTAAGCTCTTCTATTTCTGAAAAGGAAGCCATAAAAAGGCCTTGTYCTAAATTGCCATCACTTTTCTTATTCTGGAACTGACTCCTAGCCCAAACCACAAGGTTTATATATTTTTGTACAGCTTATAAGCCAGATGGAAACAGACATTGGCTCTTGGTTGAGCCATTCCTTGTGTAAATCCTCCCAGGATCCTGTAAATCCTKCACAGTCCTTATGTAAATCCTGCAAGTGCAATGGATTGCACTGATAGGGATGTGACTCCTGTTCTTATGTTTTCAGAGCACGGACTTGACAAGCACAGTGGGCTATGACAACATCATTCAACACTTGAACGATGGCAGGAAGAACTGCAAAGAGTTTGAAGACTTTTTGAAGGAAAGGTACTGAGTTWTCTTTGCAAATGGATTTGGTTGAACTTGGGAAGTGAAGCAATTATTTATATTTCTTCTATCCCCATTTTGTTTTCTTTTTTTTTTCTTCTGTTGTGTTTAGCTACTCACTATGTAAAACGTGGTTTTGGGATGATGAGGAACTTGTCTTTTTACACTGTTCTTTCCTTACAAGACCGGTATTGTGGTATGATGTCCTGTGCCCAGCAGACCTCTGCTGTTAAGCAACAGATACTGCTAGTTGCAAAGGCCAGGGCTCAACCAATGCTTGGATTTGAATGATTTGTGATAAAAAGAAAGCAGAATCTGGAGCAGTTGAATATTTTTATGCTGCCAGGCATCCCTACTGAAGGGCTGCAGGCATGGAATGTTGTTCTAATCAYCTCCATACTCAGGGGACATCTCTTGGGAAACTTCTGCCATTCTTGACTTCTGTTGAAAACAAGAGTCGGTTTCCGAAATGTGAGTTGCCTCTAACTTGCCTCTTTCCTCAACAGAGCAATCATAGAAGAAAAATATGGCAAAGAGCTCATTAACCTATCAAAGAAGAAGCCCTGTGGGCAGACGGAGTTGCAGTAAGTTCAGCCACGTGTGTGTTTTGCTTTTATAGGTGTCCTGGGTTGGAGCAATGAAGGAGGAGAATGAAATGCAATAGTGACCAAAAGGTGCTCTGAAATTAGTCTTGTGAGTGAAGAGGGGTTCAGTTAGGTTGGTCTCTGCCAGTAATTGAGCTGGAYTCCACCAAGCTCCTTCAGTTATAGACTAACCTACTTGGACCCTCAAATGAGATGTGGTCTGATGGTTAGGCAGAGAGATGAAGATTGTGAGACCTGGGTTCTGCTCCTGGCCTTTTGTAGCCAAAGTACATTTATTTCCTTGAGACAAACAGTGCAGATCTCCAAAGGCCCTGCATGGCAGCCCTGCACAGGCAGCACTGTGACCACGCTAGGCTCTGACCTGACAAGCTGTAAGCAAAACTTAGCTCTGAAGCACTTGGTGTTGCCAGCTTTCCCTGAATAAGCCCTTAGAAGAAGAGGAGAGCCTAGAGTACCTCACCTCTAAATCTCCCACAAAGAGCTGGAATAAAACCAAGGTGTCCCCAGTCCTCTAGTCCATTTCCCTAATGACCCTTGGCAGCTTCTGTTGCCTCCTTGGCAGCTTCTGCTGCCTCCTTTCTTTCTGTACATCATCTGCATTCAGTTTGATATCCTCTGATTATTTGCTTTTAATTTTATTTTGGATTTTTATATGTTTCTGGAATTTTCATCACAGTATGTTGACAGGGAGAAAATTTCCCTGCATTTCCAACCATATGACAATCAAACATACAGAAAAAAAATGTCTGTATGTCCAAGAGGTACTTATGGGAGGCTKCTTGGAACATTTGTCTTGAAACTCAGAACATGCATTAATATTCAATGTTTGGAAAAAAAGGTAAAGAGTAGATATCTAAGCAATTGAGCTGTGTGGTACCCACTTAGAGGGGAAGAACTAACATATGAAAGTGGTAAATAAACGTGCTTTAGGCTGCTTTAATCAGTATCCAGTTAGGAATTCGCTCACCAGTTTAGGAGATGTGTTTGCTTTTGCTGTTACTGCTGGTGAAGCCTGTGGTGGCGTGGACAGTGCTTTCCTGCTCTTCTAATAGTCTCTCTGTTTTTCAGCACCCTGAAGAGATCTCTTGATGTTTTTAAGCAACGTAAGTAGCTTCTTCATGTTTGTCAAGATACTTGGCAGCACTGAAGCCAACAGCCAGCTCTTTGGGAAGCAAGTACTGGAGAAGTCTCCCAAGCTGTATGATACTTGGGTCAGTCATAGGCTGTAAATGCAGACTGTAAGGCAAAGGGTTCCAGGCAGAAGTGGGAGAAGGAAGGCTCCCCTGTGGGGTCGCCCTCCTGGGCTCTTTTGGGGTTTTGAGGCTGGCTGGAGCTCAGAAGTTGTGTTTAGATTGTATTTCAGAAGTTGAACATCAGAAGCTTAGCTGCAGTTTCTCTCTCCCTGGCACTTACTGGCTTCTTTAGCCAGATACTCAGTAATCAGAGCATCTGAAGGATGGTGCCTTGGCCATGTTACACAGTCCATTCATTTCCATGGGTTCATGAGGTCTTCTGCTGAAGGACAGTAAGTGGAAGGACAAGCAGCTCATCTCAAAGGGAAAATGCATCCCTTTGCTTCCAGCAGTTTTACTGCCTACCTGCAGTGCTCTAGGTAGATCTGCAAACCCTGCCAAGACTCCATGGTTGCAGCCCGTCTCCCTCCTGCTCCTCTGCCCAAGCTTGTCTTTTGAGCAGAAATTGGGGTCCTGTGAGCTCTTCCTGCCTCTAGAAAAGCTCTTTCTGAAGCATCTCCAGCTGGGCACTCAAATGTGAGGGGTGCCCATCTCCCAGCTCCTGTTCTGGCTGTGGGCAGCCAGATGGCCTGCCTGCGTAAAGGCACACGTGCTGGCGTCAAATTAGCAGTGGAAATAAGTAAGCAGGTGGCCACAGGAGGGCACAGAGGGCCAGTGCTCTGCTCAACCCCAGCCAGATTTGTCTGCTGCCTCGCACCTTGGCTCGTGGCCGTAGCGCTCCGGCCTTGCAGCAGCTGCTCCGTTAATACCCTTAATGTGTTATACCATATATATAACATGTATATTATACAGTAATAACCATATAATACCACCTTACCTTTGGGACTGAGAGCTAGCAGTGCAGAAAGGGCTCATGCTGCAGCGCATGCTGCAGTTTGGGTTAGCTCTGTATGAGCTTCATGAGCTGCAAGCGGGCAACTGTTTTGTGGTTTTGGCCGCTCTCCTTCAGCAGGGTCAGCTCAGCACAGCGGTGATGAGCCTGAAGCTTTAGCATCAGATTTGCAGTACCCAGGTTGTTTCTCTGCTAGCTGAGGGCAATGCCTATTCCAGACAAGTGCTTTAGTGCTTGTGCTGTGTTGAAACACGCCTGAATTAATCTGGATGAGGGAGAAAGGTGAGTGTGCTCTTTTGAATAACTTGTTTTGAATATGAATTTTATTAAACTGAAGTGCAGGCCCTGGCATAACTGATCCTGAATAACTCTTTACATAGAGAGGCTCTGTTTGGAAGGTGTTTTAGAAGTGCCACAGTTTTTATATTTCTGCAAGTGAATGTTTGAGGTGAGGCCTGTGGTGATAAGGGACCCCGAATGGAAGGGGTCTCCTGGGTCACGTTGATGTCAGTTAAAGCATTTAAATATCACAGTCTTCTTAGGCTGATACTTGATTTATCTTTTTTGTTACAGAGATAGACAATGTGGGACAAAGTCACATCCAGCTGGCACAAACCTTTCGGGAGGAAGCAAAGAAAATGGAGGACTTCAGGGAAAAGCAAAAACTGCATCGGAAAAAGGTCGAGAGCTGAGGGAGAGGCAGGAGCCAGTACCTTGGCCGCAAGGGGCACCTTGCAGGAATGCTGAGCTCCTGCCCTGGCCGGCTTTGCTGCAGTGCCCCAGCCCCCTCTCTGCTGTCAAGGGCTTGTGGCTTCTGGGAAGTCCAGGGTTCGTTCCTGAATGTTGCAACTGCGCTGGTGGACTGTGCAGCAACCTCTGACTTCCTCCTGCTCAGGGCTGCGTGCTGTCATTTTGCTGGGGCCAGGGATAGCTCGTGGGAGCTTAGCTCCAGGGACTCCAGGCCCAACCAAGGAGGTTTTTCAGGTGTAGGTGCCCAGCTCAGGACAGCTGGGGACATGTCAGGAGCATTGGCTGTGTCTCCCTGCTCTTCTACCAGAACCACAGATGGTGCCGGCCCATCGAGTCTCACGCTGTCACTGTGAATTCAGTTCCCATCTCCTGCATCCCTGCAGTGGGTTGGTAGCTCAGGGATTTGCACAATGTTTTAGGACATTCTCTGCCCCCAGAAAGCACTTTCCTTAGTAGAATGTAGTGCTGTGGTGCCTTCCCTCTCATGAACCTTGTGCCTGCTCCCTGTGGTATGACACCGAGAGCCCCCACACACCTGGGGCTTGTGTGTCAGGAGAGGGCTGAGAAGCTGTGAGCGTGGTGGAGGCTTCCATGTGGCCATAAGGAGCTCCTGAAATACGTCTTTGAGGGCTGGTGTCTGCTGGTGTGCACATGGCCAGGAATATGGTGTGATGCTGGAGGGTTCTCTTTGGGTCCTCCTTCTTCAGTTCTTTTGGCTTGTCATTTCTTTCCCCTCCTCCTCCCCAAAAAGAGAGAGGGAAAGCCATCAGAACCAGCTGCAGGAATGGCCCCAGCGTAGGGGAACGGAGGCTTGCCAATTTTTCTGAGTCCTATGTGCCACTCACACAATACTATATATTGTTAGTATTTCATTTGTAGAGCTCCTTTGCAGATTCAAAAAAAAAGGCTTAGATGCAGACAAAGAAAAATTAATATTTTGGACTGATTTTGAATACCTAGCTGGAGTGCCCAGCTCTGGGTGGAGGAAAGTGCCTAAACCCATCTGATAATCTCATTTCTTCCTCTTTATAGCTTACCCTTGAGCTTTGCAGGTCAGAGACACACTGGCATAAGTCTCTTCTCTTCACAGATAGAGCTCGTGATGGAGGCGATTCACAAAAACAGGAATTTGCAGTACAAGAAGACTATGGAGGTAAAGCAGAGGTGCTGCTATGCTTTCAGCAGAGCTGTAGCTCACAGGCACACACTGCTCCTCTGTTGCACACACTTGTTTCCTGCTGTACGAGTTAACACAATTAAAATGCAAGAGCACAGAGCTGGGGCAGAACTGACCACAGGAGCCTCCCTCTGTGTCTCAACTCTATGTTGTGCCTGCATAAACGGTGTGCAGGGATACTCAACAAAACTGAAGAGCATGCAAGGAAAACAGCTGCCGGCAGTTTTGCAGGCTCAGATAAGAGAGATTTAAATGTCATAGACTCAATTACTGCTTTTCATCCTGAGGCCTGGGACATTTGGGAACTTGAGTCCCATCTCCTTCTCTGCCTGCCCCACCAACCTATTCATTCTAAGGCTGTGTTTCCCTCTGAAGTATCCTGCATGCTAGATTTTATCTACTGTATTTCCATCTCTTTGTTTGCTGCCACGTTCCTGCTCAACTTGGTGGCTCCTCTAGGCAAAGCGGCTCTACGAGCAGCGTTGCAGGGACAAAGACGAGGCAGAGCAGGCCGTGCACCGCAACGCCAACCTGGTCACACAGAAGCAGCAGGAGAAGGTAAAGGGAGGYGGGTGGCCCTGGGGAAGGGGCAGAAGGGGAAGTGAGCAGAGCAGCAGGCTGYGCCACTTCAAGGTCCTGCTCTGTGCTGGGAAGCACTTGCACCTCTGTGCAGTGTTGTGAGACTCACTGCTGGCTGGGCCGGTACCTCCTGCTGGTCAGAATTGGCTTTGTGTCTCTTCTCTGAACTTTGGGGTGTAAGGTGAGGGGAGAGGGTTACTGATATTCCCCAGCTGACCTTGCACTGCTGCAGGCAACGCACCAGCGCTGTCTTACACCTCTCTTGTTTTTGGCAGCTGTTCCTGAAGTTGGCTCAGACGAAGTCGGCTCTGGAAGACTCTGGTGAGTGTGAAAATGAAGTGCACCAGTTTGGAGTGTTTCCTGGGGCAGGAGGCAGCACGGAGGGTCACTCTGTGAGGCGTGAAGCTGTGATGAGGCACTAGGGTGCTGGGGTGAGCTCTGACTCTTGGTTTGACTGCAGCTCCTTGGAAATATGGTCTGCAGATAGCATAAGGCAGGAGCTTGTCCTGGAGGAGCCTCTGTCACCCTGCCCGCRTGGCCCCACCATGACTGTTCTCTTGCTTTCCCCTGGGCAGTAGGGACAAGGCACTGAGGCTAGGGGTGCAAATGGTGCCAGGCCAGCACCTGGGAAGGGAAGAGCTTCTGCTTCTGCTCTGGCCGTGTGTCTGTGCCAGGGATGTCCTGTCCTGTCCTGTCCTGAGGGTGACCTCAGGACCTGGCGTTGCAGAGTTTAACACTGGCAAGGCTTTGCGAGGAGGAGCCACGACTCGCTGGCTTGCTGTGGGGCAGGCTGCATAGGGCCCCATCACAAGTGAACGTCTAGGCTACGAGGCTGCACACAGCAGGAGGAGATCCTGGCTTTGCTCAGCTAGTGCAGACACTTCTAAGCCTTCAAATGATTGCAAGGAAACTCCTTCACAGGCTGCAGGGAAGCAGAATGAATGGAAATGCWCTTGCCAAATGATGTCCCCTTCACAGTGTGCACTGCAGGCGATTGACAGTTCTCCACATGCATTCATTGCACTGCTAAGAACTGTGTGCTTGGATGTTCTACATACAGAGCTGTAAGGTTTGGATTTTTTTTTTTCATCAATTAATTGATTTAAAATGAATTGCCATTTGATTTCCATCACAGACAGGAGCTATCAGCAGAATATTGCTGCACTGGAGAAGATCCGGGAAGAATGGCAGAAGGAGCACATCAAAGCGTGCGAGGTAAACGCTGTGCGAGTCCGTCCTGCTGCAGGGGCCCTCCGACTTCCGTCTCTTCCCTACAAGGACTCGATAGAGCAGATCTCTCCTCTGGCTTTTATTCCCTTCATGGTAATATAGCAGGACCTGTTGCAGGTAACCTGCATGTTTCTAATGCTTGGATTCTGGGTTTAAGGTCCCACAAGTTTTGTATTTCACTTTCATTTCACTTTCATTTCATTTCATTTCATTTCATTTCATTTCATTTCATTTCATTTCATTTCATTTCATTTCATTTCATTTTTTCTTTCTGTTTTTCTTCCCCCTTTCCATCAATTTTGAACAGTGACGTTTTTGTGTTACTCACCTGCCTGTTTGGTGCTGCCATCATCTGGTTAGAATAGTCACTTCACTGTGACCATGCAAACTGAATACATATATATAATTCATATGCATATGTACATAAAATATAACTCATTATTATATATATAATGTACATAACTGATTGACTCATTGCAGTGTAGAATCACAACAGTTAGAGATTCCTTCCCTCACATCCACTTCCCTTACTTAGTAAAGCTCTCTGGCAGGCCAGACCAGAGCAAGACAAAGATGTGGTCAGGAGGTGAAACATGAGCTCAGGTCATGCTGCTGCTTAGAACATGTGTGAGCACCTGGGCAGAGAGGAGCAGTCCCCACTGCSGCCGGGGCCTCTCACCCCCGGACAGGGGAGCCTCATGTCCTCTTTTGTCTTCGTTCTCTCAGTTCTTTGAGACTCAGGAGTGCGAACGGATCAGTTATTTCCGCAGCGCCCTGTGGCTTCACACCAACCAGCTCTCTCAGGACTGTGTCCAGAATGACGAGGTAAGTCAGGGCAAGTCCTCTCCAAACCTTCCATTTCCTGCTTTGGAGAAGTCTTCCTCTGAAGAAGGAAGGAAGGACGGGAAGGAAGGAAGAAAGGAGGGAGGGAGGGAGGAAGGAAGGAAGGAAGGAAGGAAGCATGGATCTGGGTTCTCTTTACCCAGCTTTCTGTCATACTATAGTAACAGTCATGACTCTCTTAAGTGTAAGCTATTTGGAGTATCTGTCATTGGGGTAATTGTGAGAAAACAGATAGCAGTAAATGAATGAAAATGAATCAGAAAAATCCACTCTCCCAAGAGCAGATGCCTGTTCCTGCATGTGGTTGTGATTATATCACTTCCAAAAGTTTTGCGGGTGGCTTATGAGTGTATCCATATACACAGAGCCAATTCTGTATTATTATGGAGATAGGCAAAATGGGCTGGAGCACTCTCAACAGTCAGGAAGAAACRGGTAGAACTGGTGGAAACACTGCAATGAACCCACTTGCAAAGAATCAGCATTGAGGAAACCCTGGTGCCCTCTGCACCGAGTCCCAGACTCCAAGACCTGGGAAAATCAACCAGTTCTGGACAGGCACCAGCAGTGGACTGGCTGTGTTTCACATGGGCTAATAAATCTTCCTGAGGGGCTGGACAGTCCCCACACCAGCTCTCCTTTTACCTGCTGCTGCAGGGGCTCACCCACTGCTTTCACCATTGTACCTGCTTTAGCCTCAGCGCAGCCAGCAGGGTTTGGCCCAACAGATAGAAGTCGTAGACAACAGTCTTCATTGTCTTCACGTCCTCAGCCCGATTGCTGTTCACCTTGGCTGAGAAATTCCTGGCTGAATAAGATGAGGAAATGTAGCAGGAAGTGACTTTGCCAAAGATTATGCAGGAGCTCCCTGGTGAGGCTGGAATGGGAAGGCAGAGCCTCACTTGCTTTGCTATGCACAGGGCTGTGCTATGTCCATGTTGGCCTGTGGCCTTTGGTCTCCTCATGACCAGACCACAACAGCAACTTGCAGGTAGGAGGATGTGAGACCGTTTTTACAGATGAGAATTCCTCCTCTGGCCTCCTCCACCATTKAAATTTGTGTCTGGGGGTGAACACTGTGCTTTCCCCCCCGGTAGGATAAATGATTTAAAATGAAGAACAAAAAAAACCCAATGCTTACTTTTCAACATGATGTACAGCAGTGCTTTTTAATTCCTCTTTGCAGAAATACGAGGACATCCGCAAGAGTTTAGAAATGTGCAGCGTTGAGAAGGATATTGATTTTTTTGTAAATTTACGCAAAACTGGAAGTTTGGCTCCAGGTAAGAGCTCAGGGTAGTCTCCTAAGGTCGTGCTCAGTGGTTTCTCTTCCTCATGGTTTTGTTGCTCTGAGCAGCATCAATTCGGGTGAAAAAAAATGTTTCTAATGTCTCTCCATTCGTTCTCTGGCAAGGAGCGCTAGTGCCTTCACTCCTCRCTCCTTTCAGTTCCTGAAAACATCTCCCCCTTCCTGTACTTTTGAAGTTTTTAAGCTGATCAGATTCATCTGATCATCTTTCCAGGCAAGGGGGGAAGGCTTAGCAACTGAATGTTGCTATGAGCAATTAGTTCATACTTACACAAGGTCTATACCTTGCTATTGTGATTTTTTCCTAGCTCCTGTTGTTTATGAAAATTACTATAATGCACAGAGAAATGCAACACCCGTGAGAAGTCCAGCTCCWGTACCTATATCAAGGTAAGGAATGTAATGTGCAATGAAGCTCTCAAAAAACAAAAGTATTTTCTTGCTTTCCGTCTGTTGGAATCCTGATCTGGGAGTGTCCTACTGTGTCCTGCTGTCTCTGGAAACAATCAGAGATCCTTTAAAGAGCCTTTGACTCCTAATCTACCTGGGTTTGCTTGTGTGGTGCTCCTCTCCCTGCCTTGTTGTTGGCCTAGCTGAGGAGGGCTGCATCAGTTGAAAACATTTGGTGGGTAGAGGGAAGAACAACTTCAGCTTGCAGTGAGGACAAGAAAAACACCGTTCCAGGGCAGAAGTGGGGCAGGGAGGGAGGAGTGAAGGATGCTTTTGCCTCAGGGAAGAGGAGGATTCAGGGCTGAAGATTGTTGCTAAAGGTGAGTGTCCCACTTTGGCTGCTGAATCACTACGTGAGTCATGCCCAGKTACCACTGTCTGATGTCTCAGTCTGCAGGTAAAAATGCTGCCAAGTGCACGTGTCATACCCCACGGCTCCCATGTCAATGTTTTGCCACCTCATTGCTTTTGGTCATTCTTTTTCTCCCRTGCTGCATCAGATTTGATCCCTGTGCTTGCCAAGCATGGGAAGCTGTTGTTGTTGTTAGCAAACCATGGAACGACTTGGGAACAGATCTCTGTAAAAGTCAGGCCTGTCAAACATCTTGTCCTCTCACAAGCTCAGCTGAGGTGTCCCACGATCACAGCAACAGATGTTTTACATGTGTACGGATGTTTGAGGGAGAATACTGTAGCAGATGTTCAGCTCTGTGTTTCTTTCCGTGCAGGAGAGGACCTTTGCCACCCCCAGCCAGCGGGCCAGGTGAGTTCCCTCCTTGGGACTGTGTCAGTGCTGACCCCGCAGTGGGACTGCAGTGGGGCTCTGTTTTGGGTCTTAGACGAACCTGCTCTTTAAGCCTCCACTTATCCCTGTCTGCCATCCCTTTACCATGGATGGACAGTACATAGTGGTTTTGTCCCTTTGTAAAGTCCATCAAGCTCTTCCAAGCACTTCTGAGCAGATTTTATGTTTTTGTGCTGTGTTTTAGATGATCCTGATTATGTTACAGTCGATGGCTACAGCTTGATACATCACTAACAGCCGCAGTAAGTACTGGAATTCAGTGAAGACAGGATTTAACACGAGATGCAGCTACAGAGGGAAGGTCATAGAGAAAGAAGAGGGTGACCTTTGGGGGTGACTGGCTGTGAGTGGCAATCGTGCCAGTCCTCCTGACACCTGTGTGGAGCTGACACCGTCCTTGCTGTTCCCTAGGTTCTCCGGGCGGTACCTGGGAGCAGGAGCAGCGTGGCAGAGGTGGCCTGTTCAGCTGTTCCCAGCAACACAGCACCAAAGTGCTTCTCCATTCTAAGAAACCAACTGGGGACCTTGATAATTATTTGTRCATTCAGAAAGCGGCTACTAAAAAATCTGCTCCTTTCATCAGCAAATTCCCTCGACAGGCATCTCACCTTCACACTCAGGGAAAGAAAAAGCAAAAGCAATGGAMCTGCATGCAGGAGGATCTTCTGTGTCAGCAGCAGATTTGCTTTAAAGTCCTTTTAATGTACACTGATCTGGAAGAGCCTGCGAGCTGTTACTCTCTAGATATGTCATATGTGCCAAGGGGAGCCCTGTGCGATGCTTTGGGCGCCTTGCTTTGTGTTCAGAGGGCACTTGTCCCACTCACATCTCAGGTTATTCAAAGCTGAGGTTGCACTTTGGCCCATTTCTAAACTTTTGTCTGTAATAATGATGTTTACTAAAATTAAATGCAGATTACAGTGTCTCTCAGGAAGCTTTTTTAGAGCAGCACCAAGGGTTATAACTAAACACGGGTCTGGCTTTGCTGTACACGTATGCTGGGCTTAGGCACCAATACTGAAAGTTGATTTGTATCTTGCCTGGTATAGCAGCCCTCGGACAGTCACATTTGGACAAATATTGGTGATAGATCCACACTCAGAACCCAGTTTTTGGGCAGCGATGGTGCAGATGAAAGGAAAATGGTCAGTTCTCTRCCCCAGTCCCTTCCTCCTGTGCCCTTTTCTGCTTCCCAGAGACTCCCTCCGCACTAATCCTGCTGGGATCTGCCCATGATCCCCTCCAAAGCCATAGCAGAATCTCCATTTACAGGTGGGGACTGGCTGGAAACAAACTCGGCTGCCGACGCTGACCTGTGGCCRTGAGACCCTGTCCAGATCAGAGCGGGGGAAGAGCCTCCAAGCAGGTGCCCCGTGCCCGGGCCTGCCGGCATGCAGGAGCCCACGGGAGTTTTCCAGAGCCGTTGGTGTCACCCCGGTGCCTTCCCAGCCCCGCGGTGCCCGGGTTAGACACAGGGACCAGGGCAGTGTCCCGTTTCCCCAAACCCGGCGCCAAGGACGCGCCCGGGGCTGGTGTCGCTAGGCCCGGCCTGTGGCTCCCGCTGCTGCGGGGACGCGTGTGAGGGAACAGCCCGGGCTCCTGCATCCCGGCTGGCCCGGGTGGGACGTGCCCCTCCACGAGGCTACTGCAGCTTCAAAAAAGTAACTTTAAAATAGCAGTTTTGGGGCACATTTGTGAGGTTTGGCGTGTTGCGTCCTGTGCTTGGGACACACTGGGGCTGGGGCTGACACCCGTCTTGTTTTTCTCTCTCTGGGGTGGGGTTGGGACGTGCAGCCCCTCAGCCACCTCAATGTATATTCCTCAGCCACCTCAACGTATAGTCGTATCCTTATAGCTGG